GCGGCGTCCCCCGTGTGCACGCCCGGGCTTTTCCCGCCTCGGAGTCTCGCCTTCTCCCCCAGGGGTGGGATGCTGTGCCCCCATTGTGCCACATTGGGCGACTGGTGCCCGTTTGAGAGGAAAGTTTGGACACAGGGAGGAAGATAGTCGTGTGGAGGTAGAGGCTAAGATTGGATTGGGTTTATGCTGCCACAAGTCATCATCTGGCTGGGCCAGGGAAAGCTCTTCCTCAGAAGGCTTCTTAGCAGACATGGCCTTATGGGCACCTTAATTTGGGGCTTGATTTCAGCTTCTAGCTTCCGGAACTATGGAGGAAATGCATTTCTGAACCTTATGCTTGTTTCTGGGCAGCCTCCGGAAACAGCCCCCATGAAGTAATTTTTTTAACTTCTGAGTCTGAATTTCTGAATTTCCCAAACATACTTATATTAAATGATTGAATAGATGTTGTATAGTGGCCTTTCAGATATCTTCACGTTACAGTTCATCTGTGTAACATTTATTGAATACAGCTGTCCTTCAGTATTTTTCGACAGCAGGGACTGTTTTCTCAAATCCACAGGTACTCTCCTTATACTAAGTGGCATGGTATTCGTATAAATTTTAAATTATCCTAAATTACCTGTAGGTGGTTATCAACAGATATGTTAAAAACCTAATTATCTCTAGATTACTTTTAACACCTAGCTCAGTGTAGGTGTTGTGTCATGGTGGGTTTTACTGTATTATTAGAGACTTGTGACCAAAAGAAAATCTGTATCTGCTTAGTACATGTGCAGTTTTTTTTTCCCCCCAAATGTTTAGAATCTGTGGTAAGTTGAGTTTTCAGATCCAAGAACGCGTGGGTTTGGAGTAAATACTTTCTTTCTATGCCGTTTACTGAACAGTGTTGAGGAAACCTCTGTGAATAAGAATATTTTAGTCAGTATGATGTGGCAATGCTCATTTATAATCCCAGCACTTGGGAGGTTGAGGCAAAAGAATCAAGAGTTTGGGACCATCCTGGACTACATAATGACTGTGTCTCAAAATGAGGGCAAAAATGGCCAGGGATGATGGTATACTCCAGTGATCCCAGCACTTGGGAGGCAAAGAGATTTTAAGTTCAAGGCCAGCCTGGGCTACATAGTGAGACTTTGTCTCAAAACCAATAGTCAACTAATCAGTCCATTAGAGCATTATAGTTTAGTGGAAATAGAGGCTTTATATAGCTAACTATACTGGTAATTGATTAAATTCTTTCATAAAAATACAATGAAGATATTCCAAGAGTATATAGTAGAGACATTTAGATCCAGGGAAGTTATATTTGTGCTAGGACCAGGAAAATGAGTAAGAAGTTCCTGGTAAAGAATGAGAGGAAGCTGGACGCCAGTGGCTCATGCCTGTAATTATCTCGGGAGGCTGAGATCTGAGGATCGAGGTTCAAAGACAGCCCAGCAGAAAAAGTGTGATACTCATCTCCAATTAACCACCAGAAAAATGGAAATAGTGCTGTGACTCAAGTGGTGGAGTTCTTGCCTTGAGCAGAAGAGCACAGGGACAGCGCCCAGGCCCAGAGTTCAAGCCCCATGACCGACAAAAAAAACCCCAAAAAACAAGGAAAAAAAATGAGAGGAGTAGGCTTGATAGAAGGAAGGAACTGTGAAAACTGACTTGGTAAGGAATTTGACTCATTCTAGGCATCAAAAGATTACCGGCAATAAGGTGAACCAAGCTAGCAGTGGCATGGGATAAAGTTGTTTATATAAACAGAATCTGAACTGTGAAGGATTTTGAACTTTATTTTAAAACAGGTAAGTTCTTAGACTTCTATCTAGGATCTTTTTGATCTTTTATTGTTGCCATATAGAATGCGAATTGTGGATGATGATGTGAGCTGGACGGCTATTTCTACCACTAAGTCAGACAAGGAGGATGAGGATGATGATGGAGATTTGCCTGTGGTACGTATCTTTTGTAAAATCCGTTTGTTAGGACTTTGAAATGATTCAGGCTTCTCAGGCTTGTGGGGAAAAAGCTGCACACACAGAAGCACTAGCTTGCTAACTTGCTAGCTTGGTCAGTACCCAAGTGTCTTTCTCTGCAGAAATATTTTGAGGGTGGAGCAGGAAAATACAGATGCAAAACAAGGTATCTTGTCCACAGTTACTCTGCAACTAGAATTCATTATGCCAGCCATTCTTTATGCTAGCTGTCATGTGGGAAGAGATCTGAGTTAGGGTGGGGAGAAAGAAGTAATAAGAGAGCAGATGTGGGTCCAATAGAACTAAAAGCTTTCTAACACTGTTGAAAATGCAATGGGGTTTTGTGAGATAATGAGCTCTCTGTCACTGAGCTCCCTGACAGAGGTTTTTAGTTGTCAGGGATAATACAGAAAAGATTCTAATTTGTTTGGGAGTTTGAAAGATGTGAAATGAGGTCTTACCTTTGAAGGTTCTACGATTTTGTGTATACCTGAATGACTTCCTTTGGTTTGGATTCAAGACCTGTCAAGGCTGGGCATATTGGCTCACTCTTGTAATCTCTGCTACTGAAGAAATAGAAGTTAGGGAGATTGAGGTTCTGGGTAAAAACTAAGACTATGTCAAATAAACTGGGCATGGTTTTTATACCTGTAATCTGTTATTTGAGAGGCATAAGCAGGAGGATTACAGTCAAGGCTGACCCTGGGCAAAACCTTGAGACCGTCCTTGAAAATAACTAAAGCATAATAGAGCTAGAGATGTGGCTCAGGTGGTAGAGTGCCTTATCTAGGAGGTGTGAAGTCTTGAGTTCAAACTCCCACCATCAAAACACCTCTGTCATTGTGACTGCCTGCACAGTAAGAAGGGTTTTATAGGACCTAAAGTCCTTGAATATTAGGAAGGAGAAGGAAGCAGCCTGATTTAACTCTGAATATAAATGTAAGAATTTCGATTTTGGCTCACAAGTGGCAGTTGTATACCTGGGAAGTTAATGAAAATTTTGTAATGAAAGAAATTAACCTTTGAAGGGAAATTGAATAGCCAACAAACAAATCTGCAGTGAAGCCAGAAGTGTGACAGTGAGATATTTATGGAGGAAAATTAACTGAGGACCACTGTGTACTTTTCCATGACCACTCCTGTATGGATGTGTGTGCACCATTCATGTTAGAGATGGGAATGGTCATGCTTTCAGGTTCTTGACACAACGTTCTTGGCTGGATTCTGTGTTGTCCTCAGCAGAGTGTCCTTACTCCCACAGGTGGCTGAATTTGTTGATGAACGTCCAGAGGAGGTAAAGCAGATGGAGGCCTTTCGTTCCAGCGCTAAATGGAAGCTTCTGGGAGGTGAGTTCCAAAAATAGATAAATCTAAATTTCCCACTTACAAGATGGGTCTTTTTCCCTTGCACATTTTTCTTCTAGAGGAATGCATAGATTATATGAAGAATCATGCGTGTCATGAATCCTGAAAGATACAGTGGGAAAAAGAACTCAGTACAAGTAGCAAGATATGGGAAGTTAGAGACCATGCTTTGGTATTAGGGCTGTGAAGACAGAATGTGACTTATTTGGAGCCTTTTAGCACCCACTCCTCTGCTCTAGGATAGGAGAGCACTTTGAATAGCATTAGGACCTGGAAGGAGTCTATAGAGAGCAGCTTGGATGCCTTGGCTATTTCTATCCTCTCAAGGACCAATGTTTTTGTCCTTTGGTGAGCGAATTTCTCTGTTCTCTTAAATATCGACATTTTTCTATTGCATTCTGTGCTGCTTGCTCACTCCAGACCTATCCCTAGGCTAATAAGTTAACTCTCAATCTTCAGCTCTCACAGTTCTGTGTAGATAAAATTACAGGTGAAAGCCACCAGCTAGGCCCCATTCAGCTTTTATTTGTATTTGAGTTCCCCAGGAACTCAATAAATATAAGAACTTGAGGGAGAGGAGGAACTAGAATTTAAATGTGTCCTGATTGCTAAAAATATTTTTTATTCGATTAGGTCTCAAGCTACATATTTTTTCCTCAGCTACATATTTTTTAAAGATTGTGCATGGATGTTGGACTCAAACAAACCTGGATATAAATGTTTACCTCTGTATCACATATCAGCAATGTGGTTTTGCAAATTAGTTTTTTTGAGTATATAAAATGGGAATAACAATATATCTTAGGCTTGTCATGAGGATTGAGTAATTTGTATAACATGTTGGTAAGTGGTCAATTTTTTTCAGTCCCTCACACAAGGGCCATAAAGACGGACTAAATATTCAACAGTGTTTCATTTTGGTATTCAGTCAGCTTTTGTTTTTGAAAGAAGAGGAGTATAAATTATGTAGGATAAATACCAGCAGGAGCCACTTAGTAGGTGCCCTTTATAATCTAGAATTTAGAAAGTAGATTGAAAGTAAGAAGATGGGCTCTTGCCTGTCACTTTATCTTTTTTTTTTTTTTTTTGGTCGGTCGTGGGGCTTGAACTCTGGGCCTGAGCACTATCCCTCAGCTCTTCAGCTCAAGGCTAGCGCTCTACCACTTGAGCTACAGTGCCCACTTCCGGTTTTCTGGTGGTTTATTGGAGATAAGAATTTCACGGAGGGGATGGGGGGGGAGGCTGGGAAGGGATGTGAAGGGTAAACAAAGGAGGAGGCTGCAATGCTTGATAAGACATGTACGCATTATTCTGCCCATGTAATTGTAACTCCTCTATACAGTATGTTCATTAAAAAAAAGATTTCATGGACTTTCCTGCCCAGGCTGTCTTTGAACCGTGATCCTCAGATCTCAGCCTCCTAAGTAGCTAGGATTACAGGCGCGAGCCACTGGCGCCCAGTTGTCACTTTATCTTAGTAGCTGTGATCACGTGGTTCCTCAGAGCCTTTGTCTTCATGTCTGTTAAGACGAGGATGTCTGTTATGGTATTACAGAATATTGCACCAAAAATTCAATTAAAATGCTTTGCAAATTGATGACTTGGTAAACAAGTGGAATTATTCTCAAGATATCTAGAGGGCTGGCTTGCTGCAGCTACGCAAGAACCATGTAGACCGTTTGCACTTCCTGAATATCTCTGAGAAGTTTATTGCTGGGGCGTGTTTTGTAACTGGGGGAGAGTAGACAGAACATTTATTGGAATCTGATTTTTGCTTTTGTGTTAGGCCACAGTGAAGACCTACCGTCACATGGACATTTCCGTCACGACACCCCAGATCCCTCCCCTCCTAGAAGGGTCCGTCATGATACCCCAGAAACCTCCCCTGCTAGAAGGGTCCGTCACGACACCCCGGATCCCTCCCCTCCTAGAAGGGTCCGTCACGACACCCCGGATCCATCCCCTCCTAGAAGGGTCCATCAAGACACCCCGGATCCCTCCCCTCCTAGAAGGGTCCGTCATGATACCCCAGAAACCTCCCCTGCTAGGAGGGTCCGTCACGACAGCCCGGATCCCTCCCTGCCTAGGAGGGTCCGTCATGACACCCCGGATCCCTCCCCTCCTAGGAGGGTCCGTCACGACAGCCCGGATCCATCACCCCCAAGAAGGGCCCATCATGACTCGGTCACATCTTCCAGGAGGGTCCACCATGACTCATCAGATACTTTGCTCCCCAGGAAGTCTCATCATAATTCTTCAAGCCATCATGGCTCCTCAAGTATCCCTTCCCCGAGAAGGGCCCACAATTCCCATGATGCATCTCAATCGAGGAGGACTCTTGACTCCTCAGATCCACGGCATCTCAGGAGGACCCGTCATGACTCCCCTGATTTGGCATCTAAAGTCGCTCATTCACTATCTAGAACCCAAAGTAGTAAGGTTCCAAAAAGCACCTCTAGCAGGACTTCTCCACACTGGAAGGAGCCAGAACCCTCTGATTCCTTACATTCCAAGAACAGAAAATATGTGCATGACCAGGACCTTTCTCCTCCTCGAAAAAAACAAGCAAAATCCCACTTCGGAGATAAGAAGCAGATTGATTCTAAAGGTAAGTACATGGCTGTCCATGTGAGAGATTTAATGCTGGGAGCTTGCTTTTGAATCTTTTTAGATACGAATTTCTTTGGAAAAATTTTGAAAAACAAGAAGCTGAGCTTAGAAGACTTAGAAAGTTACAGTGGTAGAGAGGAAAGGAAAGATTTTTTGGTATGGTTAAGACTACTTAGGCAGAACATGCAAGTTTTGTAAGTAATCTTGCCTGCTGTCTTCATTTAACATTTCCTCAGAGCCGGGCGCTGGTGGCTCACGCCTGTAATCCTAGCTACTCAGGAGGCTGAGATCTGAGGATCGAGGTTCAAAGCTAGCCCGGGCAGGAAAGACCGTGAGACTCCTATCTCCAATAAACCACCAGAAAACCAGAAGTGGCGCTGTAGCTCAAGTGGTAGAACGCTCGCCTTGAGCTGAAGAGCTGAGGGACAGCGCCCAGGCCCAGAGTTCAAGCCCCACGACCCACCAAAAAAAAAAAAAAATTTCCTCAGGTCTGCAGAAAGTTATATGTCAATATAATTATTAATGGTGTTACAGTCCATAAATTTAATTATCTCCTAATATTTGCTTTTGATTATTTCTAAGTTTATGCTATTATAATTATTTAGCAAAGATTTAACATAAACTTGGCCTTGTTTTGGACTTTTTCCTCATCTACTTCTGTAGATTAATTACTTTTAGATGGGTTTCCTAGAAAGCTAAGACATTGATTAGGTCAGAAAGTACAGATGTGTCCAAAACTGTTGATACTCACTGCAGATTGCCTTTTGGAAGGTGAATTGTGATGCTTTTATCTAGAACTTAGGCTTATGCAGTGATTTTTTTTTTTAAACTCTATCTTCTTCCTAGATAGTATTTTTATTTTTTAAATAATTTTATTCATTATTTGTGTGTGTGCGTGTGTGCGCTAGTTGTGGGGCTTGAATTCTGGGCCTGGGCATCAAGGCTTAAAGCTAGCTCTACCACTTGAGCTACAGTTCCACTTCTAGATTTTGGTAGTTAATTGGAGATGAGTCTCATGGACTTTCCTGCCTTAGCTGGCTTTGAACCATGATCCTCAGCTCTCAGCCTCCTGAGTAGCTAGGTTTATAAGCATCAGGCTCATGGAGCTGGGCGCTGGTGGCCTGTAATCCTACTTACTCAGGAGGATGAGATCTAAGGATCATGGTTCAAAGCCAGCCTGGACAGGAAAGTCTGTGAGATTCTTATCTCCAATTAATTACCAGAAAACTGGAAGTGATGCTGTGGTTCAAAGTGGTAGAGCACTAGCCTTGAGCAAAAGTGCTCAGGGACAGTGCCCAGGCTATGAGTTCAAGCCACATGACTGACAAAAAAAAGAGTCTCATAGGTACTTTTCTGCCTGGGCTGGCTTTGAACTGCGATTCTCAGAGTAGCTAGGATGATAGGTGTGAGCCACTGTCACCGGGCAGTATTTTTATTTTTAAATTAAAAAATACTTTGTAGTCTATGAAGCATCTGGGATATGTTTTGCTACACCATAGAGGGCTGAGTCCAAGTTTTTCCCATTCTGTTGTGCAGTTGGGGATTTTTAACTGTAGCATAGATGAGTGTTTTGAGATCTTCCATATTAATCTCACTGACAGTCATTAGTTACTAGTCACTTGGGAATAGAAACTCATATGCTTTTGTTTTTGTTTTTGTCGGTCATGGGGCCTGAACTCTGGGCCTGGGTGCTTTCCTTCAGCTCTTCAACTCAAGGCTAGCACCCTATCATTTGAGCCACAGTGCCACTTCTGGCTTTTTCTGCTTATGTGGTGCTGAGGAATCGAACCCAGGGCCTCATGCATTTGAGGCAAGCACTCCACCACTGAGCCACTGGTTTTTAAAAATGGTCTCTGATTTTATTTTCTTGTCCTCAGTATTTTTGTTTAGTAATAGTTCTTCACAAGAGAAGTAAATATTGTACCCTACAGTGATAGGTTATTTTTTTAAAGGTGCTTTAAAGAGAACTTTTTTCCTTTTTTTTTTTTCTTTTTTGGTGATGTTGGAAATTAAAGCCTGAATTTTGTAAATGCTAGACAAGTACTCTGCCACTTAGCTAAATTCCCAATCCTAATATTCTTTAATGTATTCTTTAATTTCTAGACTCTTCTTCCAGCCATAGAATATTGCATGTAAGTCCTCATCTAGAGTCACACATCAGATTCTTCTTCTTACTTAGGTGATTTCCAGAAAGCCTCTGATTCAGATCTTTCTCCTCCACGGCATAAACAAAAGCCAGCTCATCAGGATTCGGATTCAGATCTGTCACCTCCACGGAACAGACCAAGACACCAAAACTCTGATTCTGACCTCTCACCACCAAGGAGGAAACAGAAGACCAAATCTTCTGATTCTGATCTGTCTCCACCTCGAAGGAGTCAGCCTACTGGAAAGAAGGTTCAAGTATCCTACCTTTATAGGCAGGGCCATATTTATTTTCTCCCTCTCCCTTTCTTCCTCTCTTTTCCCTTTTCTTGGAATTGAACTAGGACCTCACATATGTTAGGCCATTATCTTTCTTCACAGGATTCGTCCCTATTTTTAGCTTTATGTATGTCCCAGAGAATCAAGTTGGGGTAAAGCTGAATAAAAAGGAACTCTCTGAAGGCAGAAGTCACTAACAAGTTCTCCTTGTTCAGATCTTCTGTAGTTATTTTTATTATATATTCGAAATTTGAGAACCATAGGTTTGCTTGGATTTGTACTTTAAATGGAATATTTCATTCATTAGATCTTTGTTAGAGGACTCAGCTTGATGCCCGTTTATTATTAGGTGACTTGAGAGTGAGCCATCATGAATATGGCTTACATACTGAAAAGTAGGGCATACAGATCCTTACCTTTTCTTTGCTATATTAATGGTTGTAAAGCTAGTGGTTTTGGTTATTGCTGCCCTCTAGATAAAAGTGAAGCTAAGCCAGGTGCCGGTGGCTCAGGCCTGTAATCCTACCTACTCAGGAGGCTGAGATCTGAGGATCAAGGTTCAAAGCCAGCCCAGGCAGGAAAGTCCATGAGACTCTTATCTCCAATAAACCACTAAACCACTAGGAAACTGGAAGTGGCGCAATGGCTCAAGTGGTAGAGCGCTTGCCTTGAGCTGAAGAGTGCAAGGACAGCGCCCAGGCCCAGAGTTCAAGCCTCACAACCGACAAAAAAAAAAAAAAAGTGAAGCTAACTATGTAGACTCCTGAACCTCTAAATCACCTAATTGATGGTGGATGCTCTGTTTTTCATTGCAACAGGCTACACACATGTATTCTGGGGCTAAAACTGGGTTGGTGTTAAGTGGCATTCAGCAAGAGCAGCAAGAACTCCAGAAACAGGACCAAAGAACCATGGCATTTGAAGGTAAAAATACAAAAGAGGTGATTTAGGCTGATGTACCTCCTCCTCCTCCTCTACCAACACCAGCATAACTTCTTTCTCTTCCTCCTTATTTTTCTTCTTTTACTATAGTCTACTATACCTGATAATTTAGACTTTTACTTACTGTTACAACTGTTTTTATTTTGAATGTTTTTTGGCAGTACTGGGATTTGAACTCAGGGCTTTTCACTTGCTTGGCAGGTCCTCTACCACTTGAGCCATTGAGTTATTTTCAGATAGAATTTTGTGTATTTGTCTGGCTGGTTACAGACCACAATCCTGCTTATGCCTCTTATGTATACTGCACCCAGCTTTAGTTCTGTGCTGTGTGTGTGTGTGTGTGTGTGTGTGTGTGTGTGTGTGTGTGTGTGTGTGTGTGTGTGTGTGTGTGTGTGTGTGTAGTTTTAATGGATAAAGTGGTTCTCTGTTCCTTGAATAGTGTCAGCTCTCAATCCCTTTCTCAGTGTATACTTAGATGTTGATAGGAGCTACTTGATCTATGGCTACAAAAATTCTTATGCATCAATATCCCCAACAGTTGATTCATCCACTGGAATGTTATTCTGATTTTGATACCTAGCTCTTAAAAAGTATTTTGAGGGGTTGGGAATGTGGCTTAGCAGAAGAGTGCTTGCCTAGCATGTATGAAAACATTGGGTTTGATTCCTCAGTACCACATAAACAGAAAGAGCCAGAAGTGGCCCTGTGGCTCAAGTGGTAGAGCACTAGTCTTGAGCTAAAGAGCTGAGGGACAGTGACCAAGCCCAGGGTTCAAGTCCCACAACTGACCAAATAAAAAAACAAAGTGGGCTGGGAAGGTGGCTCAGTGGTAGATCACTTGCCTTGCATGCATGAGGCCCTGGGTTCTATTCCTCAGCACCACATAAGCAAAAAGAAAAGAGCCAGAAGTGGCCCTGTGGCTCAAGTGGTAGAGTGCTAGCCTTGAGCTGAAGAGCTGAGGGACAGCGCCCAGGCCCAGAGTTAAGGCCCCACGACCGGACCCAAAAAATAAATAAAAACAAACAAACTATTATTTTTCTTTTCAGCTGAATTTCAGTTTGCTGAACCTGTATTTCGAGACAAGTTTGGTCGTAAGAAGAACTTGAAACTGGCACGGTTAGAGCAAAGGAGAAAAGCAGAAAAAGACTCAGAACAAGATGAACTGTATGCCCAGTGGGGAAAAGGGTAAGGGCACCACAGAAAGAGAAAACAAATCTGTAGGGACTGGAGCATGTTTTTTCTCTGCTCTTCTTTAGTGCTGTTATCTGGTATGAACTGAATTTCCTTCATACAGTATATTTTCTACTCCCAGTTTATATCGTGGGAATTTACCATTTGGCTTAGGCTACTACGAAGAGGAAGTTCTGCCAGTGGAACAGTGTGGTACATGTTAGTGTAGTAGTAGAAATGTCAAACATGCTTCTCTGTTTGTCTAGTCTTGCCCAGAGCCGCCAACAGCAACAAAATGTGGAGGATGCAATAAAGGAGATGCAAAAACCTCTGGCCCGCTATATTGATGATGAAGATCTGGATCGGATGCTACGAGAACAAGAAAGAGAGGGGGACCCTATGGCCAACTTTATCAAGAAGAGTAAAGCCAAGGAGAATAAGAATAAAAAAGGTAAGAGATCTGGAAATTATTTGAGCTAAAGGTGACCTTATTAGGTCACCTATATTTTTGTGCAGAGCAGGCTACCTCACACAATTGTATCTTTTATATTTTTATTTTGTGTTGGTACTGGTTCTTGAACTCAGGGTCTGGGTGCTGTCCCTTAGCTCTTAGCTAACACTGACACTACCACTTAAGTCACAGCTTCACTTCCTGCATCTTGGTGATTAATTGAAGAAAGTCTCACAGACTCTCCTGTCGGGACTGGCTTTGAACTGTGACTCTCATATCTGAGCTTGAGTACAGGCATGAGTCACTCTCGCCCCGGCCACTTGTAACTCAGGGAGTTTAGAATCAACTCAATAGGAATTTCTACATAGAATTATTTTTTTCTCCATTGCCATTCAACTGAATTAAGTTTGCACAAATAGCTAACTTCATTTTTCATTCTTTCCTTAGAAAGGCCTCGCTACAGTGGCCCAGCCCCTCCTCCCAACAGATTCAGTATCTGGCCTGGATATCGCTGGGATGGAGTGGATAGGTAATTCTATTTCTCTGCCATTCTTAAATCACTCTACATTCACTTTCTTTGCTGTAATCATAAGATGAAATATTTGCTTTGCTTGATTCTATTTCTGAGGTCCACACATACTATTCACGTTTGGAACAGTCCTCCTCCTATTTTCTTCTCAAAATACTTTTAAAAGTACTGTATAGGGCTGGGAATGTAGCTTAGTGGTAGACTGCTTGCCTAGCATGCATGAAGCCCTGGGTTTGATTCCTTAGTACTAATAAACAGAAAAAGCCAGAATTGGCTGTGGCTCAAGTGGTAGAGTGCTAGCCTTGAGCAAAAGCAGCTCAGAGACAGTGCCCAGGCCCTGAGTTCAAGCCCCAAGATTGGCTTTTAAAAAAGTTCTGTACAAGGCTAGGCATCAGTGGTTCACAACTGATATCCTAATTACACAGGTGGCTGGTCTGTGAGACTTTTATCTTCAATTAACTCCCCCAAAGCTGTAAATGGTGCTGTGGCTCAAAGTGGTAGAATTAGCCTTGAACACAAAGGTTTAGGAACAGCGCCCAGGCCTTGAGTTAAAGCCTTAGGACTAGCACCAAAAGTAATAAAAAAGTTCTGCACAAATAATTGGTGTGGTCCAGAATAGGATACCCTTTGTTTTGTGTATTAATCACTTCTAATATTTTCTGAAGTTTAGAGATGAATGATGGCTTGTGGTCTGAAGTCTTCCATATGTTGTATCTTTAAAGTATAGTACTTGAACTTTAATTCTATTCATTGTTTTAGGAGTAATGTCTTCAGAACCCTTCCACGTCATCTATTTACCTATGAGTGTCTGCCCTCATAGAGCCTGACTTGCTCTCTAAGCTGAATAAGCCCTCATTCTGTTTCTGTGATACATACATCATGAATATTCCTATCATGGTTTATGCAATTTGTTTATTTTACACTTATGGGGATTGAATTCTACGGCCTTGTATGTTCTAGGCAGGTGGTAGCACTGAGCTACAACCCTAGCCCAGTGCTTTTTATTTTAATGTTTGTTTAGATGTCTATTTCCTTCTTGAGTCTGTGAGTTCATGAAGACAGATGCTTTGTCACATTCATTTTTGTGCAATGCCGGCTACAATGCCTGTTTTCTAATATCTAATGAGAATTTACTTAATGTTTACTAATGAATGGAAAAGTTATAAGATGTGGATGTTGGCTGGGAGTGAGTTGGCCTTTTTTGGAGGGTGGCAAGAGTTTGAAGTAACTATCAGAGTAGGAGGGTTTGAAGGGTTAGAGGAGGAGAAATTATGTGTAAGCTTTTTGATTCTATTGCATAACTGCCTTTTCTTCACATTCATTATATTGCAAATTGTTACCTCTCTGTTAAAATAAATATCCAGTTCGAGGTTCTGGCTGATTAATATGTCTCTTTTGATTACAGATCCAATGGTTTTGAACAGAAGCGCTTTGCCAGGCTTGCCAGTAAGAAGGCAGTGGAGGAACTTGCCTACAAGTGGAGTGTTGAGGACATGTAATTCTCTGAGTCTGTGTCGGTGTTGTGGGTTGTGGTAGTGGCATGGGACAGCCAGACATCCAGCCTAAGCAGCTGTCTATGCTCATAATTAGGGCCCACACAGACCAGTGACTCGCTGAGTACAAGTTTGACACAGAAGAATGTTACAGACCTGACCTTTGGGTGCTCCAGCCTTGTCTGTGGGTGGCTTTCATAGGAATCCGTGATTTCTACATACCAGGGTTTGTTCTTGGCTAGGTTCTTTTCTTTTCCACTTTCAAATAAACATATTTATTTTTTTAAAAGCATTTCCTAACTGGGTATTTTGTTAGGGGAAGAATGCTAGCTAATATTGAACCCCTGGGGGGTCTTGGATTTTTCATTGATCTAGCAAGCAATGTGTAAAAACTTCCTTAGGTTAGATATATTTTTTTTTGTTTTTTTCGAGAAAATAAGAATTAGTACTAGACTTGACTCAGGAATGTTGGAAACATAATGTGATAAAAAATAGTGTAGTAAGAATAAGGTTAGTGGTGCTCAGAAAACTGGCTTATTTTATATAAGGACAAAAGGAGACCTAGAGCTGGGTGCCGGTGCATCCCACCTGTAATCCCAGCTACTCAGGAGGCAGAAAAGTCCCCGTGAGACACTTATCTCCAATTAACCACTCAGAAAAACCTCTGCTGTGGCTCAAGTAGTAGAGTGCTGGCCTTAAGCACAAAGAGGCTTGGGAAAAGTGCCCAGGCCCTGAGTTTAAGCCCTATAATTGACCAAAATAAAATAAACTTAAATCCTTCCCTCTTACCATGTAAAACAAAACCTCTCAGAAGTTATTTAAAAGCCTAAGTAAGATACAGCTGAGTGAAAGTAGTTAGATATTGGGCCAGTGGAGGTTCTAGGTTTGATCCCTAGCAACAGCAAATAGTAACAATAAAATGAAAAAATGATGAATGTTTTTGTTAAGATAAAATTTTGTTGTTGTTGTTTGTTTTTTGGCTAGTTCTGGGCCTTGAACTCAGGGACTAGCAACTGTACTAGCAACTGTACCTGAGCTTTTTATTCTCAAAGCTAGTTAATATTACCACTTGAGCCACAGCTCCACTTCCAGCTTTTTTTTTTTGGTAGTTAGAGATAACTCTTAATGTACTTTCTACCTTGGCTAGCTTTGAACCACGATCCTCAAATCTCAGCCTCTCTTGAATAACTATGATTACAGGCTTGAGCCATGGGTGCCTGACAAAAATGTGTTTTTTCAGATTATTTTTTGAATAATACCCAAAGCACAACCTAAAAAAAAATTGCTGGCTTGATTATTTCATAATGAAAGACTTTTCTCTTGGTGGAATTTGAACTTTGGGCTTTGTGCTAGCTAGGCAGGTGTTTTACTTCTTGAGCTACATCCTCAGTTCCCATAATGAAGGATTTTCTATTCATCAAAGCAGCCCATTGTTAAAAATGGATAATGAATTAGAAGAAAACATAACTAGGGATCCCATAAGTAAGGGAATGAGTGTAGAACTAAATCAGGAAGAAAAGATAACGGAAATAGACTAACATGATTTCTCAGAAGAGAAATCCAGATATCTAGTAAGTGTGTTGTCTCACTAGTATTTCGCTAAATGCAAATTAAAACAGTTGAGTTTCTGCCTAAGTTCAGCAAGACCAAACTCTCATAAAAATGGAAAACTCAGAATTTCAACTGGTGAGGTACAAGTGGACACTATGGAAATTAAGTTATGTTTGGGAAGCATCATTGCGTAGTTTTGGAGAGTGGGCTTTAGAGTTTGTACTGCTTAAAATGAATTCTCATTTATGTTGTGTACTAGCTGTGTTGGCAAGCTGCTCAGGTTTTCTGTGCTTTTCTTCTGTGAAATATAGATAGTACTACCACCTCAGGTTAATAAACCCAAGCTTACAACAAAAGCTTAGAACGGTTCCTGGCAGAACTTATGTGCTACCACACCCAGCCTTATCTGTCTTCTTTATTCTAGCTATTTTAGGGAATACCAAGTGAGAAAAATAAGGATCATTGAAGTTTATAGCAGAAATCAACTAAATAAATTAAGTATACAAAAGTTTTTGTGGGGTGCAGCTGAAGATGACTCCCAAGGTCTAGTGTATGTTACCACCGAGCCATACCCTAGCCTACATTGTTTCAAGAGACTTTTTCTGTGGGAAGAAACCAAGTAGGACTAGAATGGAAGGAATACCTGAACCCCTGCAGGGGTGCATGTGCAATGTGCATGAAATGCCTCTTGGCAGCTCACTTCTGGACTCCAGAGGCCCTAAGTGCAACTCCAGAAGACAGACCTTGCTCTAGCAGAATTGACAAGTTGCCTCTATTTAGGTAGGCTTGGCTAAACTACTTGAACAGACTACAAGGAGAAATGTCTTTGTCCCCCATCCCCTACCCCCACCCCTGCCTCCACTCCTGTAATGCCCAGCTAGTTAGGTTGAAATGGTAGTTCATTAGGATGCATCTCCATGGCTTCCAAGGTTGTTCTGAGCATTGCCATCTTAGTGAGTGGAGCTTAGAGGATGTCATGGATCAGCTCTAGAAGTGGCACCTACTTCCACACACATTCCATTGGCTGAAACTTAATCACATGGTGCCTGTAATACAATGGAGCCTGAGAAATATGTGTTCAGGAAGAAGGGAAAAGTGGATGATGGGAACTTGTCTCTGCTACTGTGTACACTTGTCAGACTCCTGAGGAAAGGAAGGTGTCCATTTCCCAGACATCTAAGACACCTGGGAGTTTGAAAGAATTTTGAGATCTGATGATTCCAAAGAGACTCAATCTCTTAACTGGTCACCTGGTCATCTGGAGTCATTACCAAGTTAGAGATCTCTTCCCTAACTCTGGCCAGGGGTTCAGCGAGGAACTGAGGCAATTGGGATTGTCTAGAGTCAGCATTGTGAAATGGAGATTAGTACTTTTAAAGGGCTCAGAAACAGGATTCAACAGTTAAGATATGGGCAGATTTGGGACTGGAACCTGGTGATCTTTCTCCTAAGCTTTCTAATCCAGTCCTTTGCTCCATGCTGAAAACTTTCTTAAAGATCCTAGCTCAGATCATTAGTAAAGAAACTGGTGAAATCTAAATGTATATATTTAGTTAACAGAAATTGTCCATGTGTTGATCTTTTAGTTTTGACAAATTAGACCGTAGTTACATAAGATGTAATGTCAGAGGCTAAACATGCTATGTGTTATGTACTCCTTACAATTATCCTTTAAGCACAGAGTCATTCCAAAATGAGATAGACATTTAGAAAGGGCCTCAAAGAATACAGGATCTGGATACTGGATTCTGGTTCTACTTTGGGGGTCTTTTGTGAACAGTTTTGCAGGCAAGCCCCTTGTTCTTGGACTTTTTCTTGGCAGTGAGTACTTTCAGTTCCTAGTCTTTTGTCACAGTCCTCCACAGCAAGACTGATTTGTTTTCATGGGAACAACTTGCTTTAGGGCCAGGGGCTTTATTTGTTTTCAAATAGAGACTGGGTACAGTGGAAGCGGATAGATTGTATTCCAGGTGAGCTCTTAGGCCTTGGTGAAAGTGTACAAACTCTTGAAGTGTGAGAACAGCGCATTTTAAAGAGCAAAGGGCCAAGCCTGCCTAGTGTATCCTGACTGTTATTCTGAGGATGGCCACTAGAGGGTGGTATGGCATGCCTTTCCTGAACTAAGGAATTCAGGTCCTGAATCTATACACTTCCCAAAATGCTAGGTCTTAGACTTTCTCAGAGATTTAGGTGGCTAACCTCTGATTCATATCCTTCTGCTTAGTAGCCCTACCTTAATCCCGAATCACAGTCTTATCCTAGTATGGGAAAGATTCCCAGGGCAGAAAACTAATATAGGTTTGGAAAGACTTCTATAACTGACAGGCCTTTTTCTTTTAATCAAATCCAGTCTTTTGTTCTCCTATCCCTTCCTGTGCTCTCTACTCTCAGGTTTAGATGTAAGCAGGTAGTGATATTGAAGACCACGGAATAACATGTTAAAAAGATGAGCAGAATGTGGATTATATTTCAGTTTAAAAATGTAAAAAAAAAAAAGCAAAACAGGAGCAGACACTGTGATGTTGGTGGAGTCTAATGAATTGGTCGTGCTGACTGGAGAAGCCGTGGTGCTTTGACATTGGCTCATTGGTTAGAAGAATTAATTACCCTTCTCTGAGGTTTGACCTCTCCAGGCAAACAGTGCATCATCCCTTGTTTATTATTTACTTATTTATTTTTGTCTTTTTGAGACAAGATCTCACCATCTAACACATGTTGGCCTTGAACCCACTATGCTCCTGCCTCAGCCTTATGAGCGCTGAGATCACAAGCATGTGCCACCACACCCATCTTGCATAATCCCGTTGTAAAGAAGCTACTCACCCTCACACCGGGTCAATGAGGCTGGATGAAGACTGTGATGGGAGTGTACCTGGGAATCCACATGAGGGTGCAGTTGAGCTTGCAGTGGCTGTCAGTGACCACAGTTGTAATTGTGAGATGGTTGGGGAATGTGTGTCCCGAGCTGTGTATTTTCACAGAGCCTCTGCAGGCTATCTCTTTCGCCTGGTGTTCTGAGGCTTAAGTTCTAGTGCTAGTTGGTGGGGAAAAAAAAGAGAGATTTATAAGACTGGCTGGAGCCACATTTTCCCTGTGTCATAGGTTTTCTTTGCCACCTGCCAACTAAGATACTCTGCCTGGGACCGATCTGTCTCTCATACCTGGATGATTTTCTGTACATGCTGTCAAGTTGCTTGCCTCAGACTTTGTGCCATTGGACTTAGGCTTACACAACTTCACCCTTTCGGAAAACAAGGGCATATAGGTGGTACTGGCGGTAGTTCGATCCTGGAGAGATGCCTGTGAACCCACCGGTTGGAAGGGACAGATCAGATCAGTCAGCTGACAAAGGACAAGTCCCCCTCTGCATACCACATTCTGCATTCTCTGTTAGCTAAGGAATTACAAGGAGCATGGCTTTGTTCTGTCACTGGTGAAAATGCAATCTTTAGTGCTTAGAAATATGGCTGATTTTCTTTCCTTTTTTTTTTTTTTTTGTTGTTGTTGTTGATTGTCGGGCTTGAAATCTGGGCCTGGGCGCTATCCCTGAGCTCTTCAGCTCAAGGCAAACACTCTACCACTTGAGCCACAGTGCCACTTCTGGTTTTCTGATGGCTAATTGGAGATAAGAGTCTCATGGACTTTCCTGCCTGGGCTGGTTTGAACCTTGATCCTCAGATCTCAGCCTCCTGAGCAGCTAGGATTACAGGCTTGAGCCACCAGCACCTGGCAAGG